TTATGATCTGAATTGAATTCTACAGACAAATGTGAACCAAACTTGCCGGGTTTGAAGTCTATGGATTCGACTGAGCAAGTCCATTGGGCTCAACAAGCTATGCATGCACTTCGGACCTAATAGCTCATTCTTTTTATGCAAGTACGAAGCCGACCAGTGGCAGAATAATTACATAACTAGTCACACGTCAACTAACAGTAATCCCTAAATCTTAGACAAAACAACACATTCCTTCATTTTATTTCTTGGAATGTAATAATGAGTGCCCTGGAATTTATGCCACACGAGTTTGGCACGCTTCTGACAGTACATCATAATACGTGACGAAGCAAAAGCGGTTAGCAAGTCCATTACTTTCATTTTGTACAACTGCAATTCATAGAACGACTAATGGTCTGCTTGTGCGGAGGAGTGAACATTAGGTAACCTCGTCCACAGGCGGTACAACTGCAGGCATCCTTCCATACATTCAGCAAAACAGGCAAATACACTTTTGTGAAGTAGCTAAACGGAATGCTTGTGAGGTTGCAATATTGAAGATTAGTTAAGTTACCAGGTAGTTTTTGTTTGTGTCGGTCCTGAATCCATAACTGACCGGAGCAACATCCCCACAACATGCTATTTCAACATGTCAATTCCTATTCTAATTCAGTTCTGATCAATACTTGCACTGTATCTTATATTAAAAATGTGTAAGATATCCACAATTGCTCAAATAATAAAGCTGGGATATCCATTTTCTTGTATCCTTGCGCAGTGCCAACCTTGTTATTCGATATTCTTATGCATATAAGTTATGAGTTCAATGATGTACTTTGTATTGATTGGAGATAAATGAAGTCTTTCATTTTGTAACGGACTTTTTATTTATGTTCAGGATGAATGTAGCGTGTCTGTAGATTAAATGAGAACGCTAACTTAGCATCAGCCGCTGTTATTACTATCAGTACGTGGGCCTTGATGAAGTCGGGCAAAGCTTTAAGACTAGCGCACAGTACAGCCAAGATACAAATGAGAGCTAAATCGCTCGTTGCGAAACAACTACGGTGACGGTGAGAAGCAAACGGAGAAGACGTTTTTCAAGAAAACAAGGACTTGAATAGCCGAATTTATTCGAGGCCTGCGACAACGTATGTGACGTAGAAGTGCGCTTTTCTAGTCAAAAACCTAAAATGTTTAAAGAAGAAATGAAGTATCAACCTGTGATCCGAAACATATAAATTCCAGCTCATGGAGCAATCGTCGTCATTGGAAAATCCGGTTCTTTGCTATCACCTTGGAATTACTGAGCCCAATGGTTTGAATATTTAGATACGAGAAGGGCAAACTGCCCTGAAATAGCTTAGCTTTCATATGAATGGCAGAATAAACTACTCTATTGTCGCGAATGAAACAAAAAGGCAAGGGTATATTTTGAAATGCTAGGTTATACAGCGAGAGCACCAGCAGAATGCCTTGGCGATTGCAACAATGTTCGGTGACTACTGGTTCCATAGAACTTGTCGTTACTACAGGGGTCGTGTCGAAATAGTGCGAAGAATTGTCCAGACGTGTTTCGAAATGAGACGCGTGCTGCGTAGACATGTCGCGACCAAACCGTGTACGTAGGTATCTGCAGCTAAGCCTTTTTTTTTTACTTTATTTGGTACTCACTTCGATATGAAAACGGGTGGCTGTAATTTTTTACTTCCGAATCATAAAAAAAAACTGTGCTTGGCGAGGCATTTTCGCTTTGCTGACGAGAAATGTATTCGCCGATACCGCCGCCTCACGATGCGAAAATGAATGCTGTCTGCTACGTGAACCTCGAAAGCATGTTTAGTGCTGCTTGCGCTAGGTGGCGTATTGGCTAAAATTACTCGCGAATAGCACCGTTCGACAGGAATGCCCCCACGTCGACACTTTGTGGCGCATCTTTATCCCGATGACTAGGGTCCATGATCACGATCATGAAGTAGTTACCCGTGTTAACGTACACCTGAATACATAATACGGTGAATCGCGCGCGAAGATGCCGTCAACAAACACATAATAAACACTGATACATGATACACACTCACTCAAAACATCATCACTTGATGAGAGAAATGCCAAGGTACGCACTCTCCAGTCATAGCGTAACTTATACCCCTGTCACACGGGCACCCGTGAAGACCGTTTAACTCCCTCGTCTTTACGACAACGAATATGCGGTCGGTGTCACACGGCCACCCTTACGGAAACAAAGGTGAACGGAGCATTTCGCAAAGGACGTTCAACGATCTTCCTTCGCAGCGAAACGAGGTACTCTCGTCCTCAGCAGTCTAGAGGTCAGAGAAAAATTTCGAGCACTAAGTGGCCGCAGTAAAAGAATAATACATTTTAGCAATATTAAACGTTCTTTCGTTGTATTACTCATTCCCAACGCGTGTTTGTTCACAATATTTACGCCCGCCAGAGTTCACTTACTCTCAACACCGATGCCCTACACACCGTGCCTCGCGTCGCGAGTCGGGCCGGCCGGCGCCAGCCGGTCAACGTCATTATTAGCGCAATATCGCACCACTTCCTCACGTCGTCCGCTGTGTCACTCATGGCTGAAGAACACAAAATGTGCGCTCACGAGGCAAGGAAGCATAAGAACTTTCGTACCGGGCATGTACACAGGCAACAAACAACTAAAAGCACAATGTGTCCAGCGTCACTAGCAGCATTGCTACATTCAGCAAATGCGTTTTTATTTGAAAATATTTTTAATGGTTTGTTAGTCGCATACTTACTTAATAGTGGTTTTTTGTAAAAACCGCATAACGAGGATTCACAAAAAATCCATAGGGATCAAGTTAGAATACTTTTCCGAAAATCAAACAGCGCCAGCTGAGCCCCCTCGCGGCAACTGTTACAACCTTGTCATTGCCGTGTGACACTGCCACAACTCCTTCTCCGTCGAACCCCCTAGGAGAGATTTACGTTGACGGTGTTCAACGGAGTTTGGTGGTGGCCGTGTGACAGGGGTATTACACTGTATGGCGCTCATCACACGGAGCTTCAGGAACGCTATAGGGACGGAGTTAGTGTAGCTTAAGCCGCGAACGTGTCTTCTAGGTTTTTTTCTAGGACTTAGCTGCGTGATGAAGTTTGTATCCAGGTTGCTTGAAGGCAGATGCCTCAACTAGGAGATGCTAGATGGTTTTTACGTTCACTTTCAGTGCGGAGAAGTTTGCTTTTCCCGTTCCGTTGTCTCGTTGCACGTACTCGAGGTCTTCAGCTTGCTGTCGTCATTGCGCAATAAGCGGTTGGACGAGCTGTTGCTTTCTTTTCCGTGGAAGTTGTGTGCAGTGAGGCATATGAGGCACCCAGTTCATGAGGCACATACCAGTTCATGGTGATGATGGTTCTTCGGCCCGGCGTAAACAAGGAATGATTTTATAAACATACATTTTTGGTACAACTTACAAAGTCTAGAGACGCCACGCCCACATTACTGTTTGTTGAGACCTGGTTTAGATCATTCGAGGAGCTGTGTGTTGCGTCACGTCACCGAGTTGACGTCACGGCACGTAGAAGGAAGTTGGTCAGGCGTAGGAAAGATGCGCGAGCTTGTTTGGGGGCTGCAAAAAAAGTCGGAGCCTGTTGACTTGCCCGTTAAGTTAATCTGCGCAATTTTTCTAGGAGGCGTTGGTCTTCGTGAGTTTCACCTATTTTTGCCGACCTATGCGGGCCACAAGGGACTCAGTAGTGACTATCCCTCATTCATTCATAGCGAAAATCTTGTTCCGGCAGAAGGATTAAAAGATGAGCCAGTTGGTGACAGTGTTTGAATTTTTTTTAGTTGGAGCAGTATACCTTGTCCGGGAAAATACACGTGGTCTGTTTTTTTTTGTTTCATGACGCAATGCTGGCAGTTGTTTCTTTAGCGGTTTCTGTTTGCTTTAACGAGGCCACGTGGGTTGGAGGGGTGTAGCTATCTTTTTTTCCCTTTTCTTTCATGTGATTTTAATAAACTTTAATTTGCGAGGTAGGACTGTAGTGCACACGGGAACAATTAAAACCTATAACAACGACAGCACGTGTTTCATTACGAACTCGTAGTGGGCGCAAAACGAAGGATTATATTGTAATGCGTGCTTTGCAACTTTTCTGCAGTAGGTATTCAAGAATATTTGAAATGACCGACGGTACGTTAACAGACGTTCTTTTATTTGCATTAGGTTGTCCACCCTGAAGCGAGGCCAGGCTAATAGCGACTAAGAAGGTGGTGTGATAGGGGCCCGGTTACGTCATCAGCTTCCTACACTTGAAGGCGAACCTAAAGTGTTCTCCAAGTTTTTGAGGACGATAATATTCCTTGGGATACTTTAATGGAGATATTTTTGTCTGTCTGTCTGTCCCACAAAACAATTCAGCCACCCGGCCAAACTTTAAACACTTACTCAACGCCATGCCATCATGACCTGGTGTCTGCGTTCACACTTGTGGGCGCTGTCGACCATAAAGGCAAATATCATCCATACCTGAGTCACTACATCAAAACGTATTAGTGTGTTCCTTTAATAGAAAACGCACAGACACGTAACTTCTAAAGAGCGTAGTGTTAATTACGCTGCGCTGACAATGATGAACAAAAATGTAAGTGTTTCCTACGCTTTGCTAACACGACACGGTGCTGCCACCTACCAGTGGCTCTGCGTTCCACACAAGCTCCTGTTTCCTGATATTACAGTAAGATGGCGTCCATATCTCACACAGCACCTCTATATTGAAGACTATAATGCAAAATAACAAAAACAAGAACGCCGACCAAGGTGAACTACACAAAACCTAAAAAGACGTTTCGTTTTGTTATTTTGCACTATGTTTGTCCCCGACCAGACGGGATTCCGTCGGGCTCTTGACGACCGAAGACTATCGTTCGACATTTGCAGCGGAGCACGCAGATCTGCCGCCATCTTTCGTCCCACTTTTCGTTGGAGTCGCGACTCGCGAGAGGTGTTCTCGAGATGTCCAATATGCATGCGTACCGTTGGCCTGTTCGGCGAGCAGGTCTCTCAGGTGTTCCGAGCGTCCGGCCACCTGCACGGCCGAGACGCGCACCGAGAAACGGGCACCGGTGCGCTGCTTGTGTTCGTCGATGAGGCGGAAGAGCCAGGACACCGCGCACGGGATGGCTCCCAGCTCTTGGCTCGAACCGCTGCCCAGCATCGTCCACGTCTTGCCTGCGAAACGAAGACACAGTTCACCTTACCCCATAGTAAAAGAAGAAAGTGAGTATGCTAAAAAAGCACTATAAAGGTGTGCATCCCTTTACCAACAACAGCAAAACCATAGTCGGCTACAACCTATGAATGAATGGAAAACTTCATTATTGTCCGGCGGACTAATGGCCCGGGGTCAGGTCTCCCCCCCCCCCCCCCCGTGCAGGAGGCGATGGCCTTGTTGAAGAGTATGCGGACCGGGATCGACTTACGGGATACAATGAACTGACAAGGCGTTCTACTTGGCCCCGGCGATGCTATCCTACGTCTAGCGGATATTTATGCAGAGCCCAAGCAATTGCCTGGCGACAGCTGCAAACGAATACTTATCATAATCCACTGCTGTGTCACCAAATATACCACGCTCTATAGCACCAACATCTGTAAGGTCTGCCAGAAAGACACAGCTATACGCTGACTCACATGCTCTGGCAATGCGAGGATAAAGCGAAACGTATTAGTCCCGATGTTCTTTCGTCAAAGTGGGAAGCCTATCCGCGGAGCTCCAAGCTTGCCGACCAACTCTGGGCAGCCCAGCAGGCCGGTGAAGCGGCCGAGAGGCAAGGCCTTCGCGTCCCAGCCTATACAGTCGGCTAAAATTTCAGATAATTAAGGCAACTTCATCCTACTAGTGCCGAGGCTGAGGGAAGTGTGCAACATTCTTTGTACCTCTTCAGGTTTCGTTTTTCACTCCTCTATTCACTGCTTGTTCCCTTTTCGAACTTTTCCGTGTCTTTCTCCTCATTTATATTTCCTTCCCTTTGCTCTTTCAATTGTGATATGCGGTTCGTGTTGTCGTGTTTTCCAAGCCAGAACACCATTGCTCGCACTCAATATAATTATCAAGGCGCTCAATAACGAAAGGAAGATGAATTTTGTAAGGTGCGAGCGTGCAATCACTATGACTACAGCTGGCTATGCAATGCGTGGTTTTTTTCTGCGTTATGCCAAGCATGGATTTGCCTAGTGAATTTGCCTAGTCTTCCTACTTGCGGGTGGCGAATCGCACTTGTGGTTTTGTTTATTGCCGTGTTTCGATCTTGTTTCGATTGAAAGAATGGTCCCTTCTGAACTTCGTGACTTGATTTGAAATGGCAAGCATAAAAGGTTAAAAAGTGAAGTGCAACTGCTCAAAATTTGCTGGTTGTCATTTCACGAAAAAGCAACTTCAGGTCACGCGAAACCAACCGGAACCAAAAGTACGGAGATTAGACAAATTTGTGAACTGTATACTCATCATTCCCAAGCTCGCTGAAGCGCCGTGCGTTGTAGCTCTTATAGACCCTATGGCCAGAGTTTTATTTATATGTACTTATGGGAAACTCTATGCTGTACGTGACTATAATGGAAATGGCGCGGTAATTCTTTTCGGTGTGTCCCTGTACTCTCTTTTGAGAGTAATGCGACTCTTCAGACGGAGTCATAGACGGGGCAAGTAGGGAGCACCAGAAAGGAGTCGCACATACTCCTTATTTTTTTCTAGTGTGCAGCAGTTGAAAACTGCATAAAATGAAACGAAATCAGTTGATTGCGCACTATTGTCGATCGACACAAGGCAGAAAATATGTACGACTTACGATAAAAGCCTGACAGGAAACGATCTACAAACACTCTCCTCGTGTGTGGACCAATGAAGAGCTCATTTTTACGTGATGTCACGTGAACAGACCGCTATACAGGTCACGAAATGTGCCGAAAGGGTTGCAAACGACAGGAAGAAGTAACTGGCTCGTTCTCTGTATTTTCAGCAGTTGTTTAAATGGCTTTCAATATTCACCAGCAATATTAGTTTTACGCGCTTTATTTAGAAGATCTGCAACTTTATTTTAAAGATTGTAACTATTCTATTCACTTTTCATAACCGTGAATACGTTCAACATAGAAAGTCCGGCGAGAAAGGAATCAAAGAGCGAATATTATTTGAAAATTATTTTGAAGCTTGAATATACACACAAACCCGCTTATTAGATACACTCAGTAACCAACTATATTATGGTAAATAAATAATACTACTAATAATTGTAGGAGTCTTATGTCCGAAAAGCCCGATACGAATATGAGAGACGCTGTAGTGAATATAATAATAATAATAATAATAATAATAATAATAATAATAATAATAATAATAATAATAATAATAATAATAATAATAATAATAATAATAATAATAATAATAATAATAATAATAATAATAATAATATGAATAATACATCTGAGATTTTACATCCCAAAAGTATGATATAATTATGAAGCACGCTGTAGTGGAGAGCTACCGAAATTTCGACCATGTATGGTTTTGAAACGTGCTTCTAAATCTAACCACAGGGCCACTAACATTCGATTTCCATCACAAATGCAGTCGGCACGGCCGGGATTTGATCCCACGACCAGCGGGTCATCACCTGAGCACTCTAATCACTAGAACATCGCTGGGCGGTCTGTGGTAAGTTGAGTAGCTAGATTAAACAGGTAGATGAAAACGAAGCTACAGTTTTCTTTTGTTTCATTTGGCGGCACATCCTTGCCAACAAAGAGTATCGCGGAAAGAGGCACAGCGATGTCCCGTTGTGTGAAAGGATGCGGAGGCCACAAGTTTTCTTGTTTTTCGTGTTTCTATTGATTTCTTGTTTTCTTTTTTAAAATATCTCTTGTTTCTTGTTGTAAAAATATTTCTTTTTTCTTTTTTTAAAAAGTGTCTTTCAGAAAGACATCTTTCTGTTTTATTTAATTATAAAATAAACTCTTAACTGAGAAAGTGTAGCCACCACCATCACAAGACTTTACGAAAGGCTTATCTAAAATTCCTACTTGAACGTGCGATATATAACACAATGCATTCAAAAAGAAAGGAAACTGGAGCAACCTTAGCAACGAAACGGCATTATTTACTCGCTGCCAACCGACTCGTTTTTCAACCGCCTCGCTAAGTGTCGAAGCGCCCTAAGATTTTCTGCGAAGGAGGCCCCTTTAACGCTAAGCCTGCTTCCTCTCTATGAAAAGCTTCCACACTCTCCCATCCCTAATACCTCGTTTCCCCTTTCCTACTGTACCCCTTCCCACACCGAAGAGAGATCGAACGAACGGCGAATAACGTGGCGTACAAGAAAAAAAAAAGGAATACCCGAATAAGAAAACCGCCACCTTTGTTTCATATCTTTTTCTTTCCTTCGTTAACCCCCTTTTCTTGGCTCCAACCTTTTCCTGGATCCCTCCCCCCCATTTCCCACTTTCTCCCACTTTCAGGGTCACGTGAGGAACTCTGCTCTCTCCAACTATTTTTTTCTTGTTGTCCGGGAGTTACTCAATACCGTTCGCTAGATAAGCCCCGCATCAGCACGTTTTCTCCGCCGGCGACGACGCCCCATTTCGAACGGGGATAAATCACGCCCCCCCCCCCCCCCAGTAAAGAAACACGAAGCGACGAACGAAAGTAGCGAAAGGAGAAGTAGTGGTCCAAGCGTAAAAGCATCGTCTGGAGTGCGCGCGAGCGTGCGCCTCCAGTGGGGAGCGTTTTCGCCGGAAGGTGGCGCAAGAGAAGCGCGCGCACGTCACCGCTAAGCGGCCGCGAAGAAAACGGAAGGGGTGTATCTCCGGCTACGTGCGGGTAAATTGTAACGCCAAGAGAGCGAATCGTATACCGAGGTTCAGTAAGCAACAATGACACACACACAAAAAAAAAACAGGAAATTCTCCCAGACGTTTTGCACGCGTACTACTGCAGTATTCTTTAGGAATGGCGAATATTGTAAATGTACTGAGTTTCATATTTTTTTTTGTATTATTATCAGCCAGGTATGTCTTAGCGCCTGTCGTCATCTGCCTCTCACATGCGCACGTATTTTGTAGCGCCAAACTCATCGTGTTATGTATAATCACTACCTCGCCCAAACAAGTTCTCTTTAAGCATGCTTGGCTACATGATTCATATGATTCATATTTACGTAGGATATCTTGCGACATCTTAAATGTTGCTGCTATAGTGCCACCCTTAAGAAACAGTTTGCAAGTGACTTATGATCGGATGTGACATCTTAGGGAACTTTTGTGTCATGTGTGGACGTTCCTTTATGAGAACGTATGTGTTTTGTAAGTTTTCCCGTTCAGTGGAAACTTTTTATGTCGAAAAAGCGGGACTTAATGCGCGAGTGTATGAGAGTTGAGAGTTGTAGTATGTGACCTACACTTTTTCGACTTCTCTACTGTGCGACAGCATCTATCACTCAGGAGAAGCTAAGAAGCCAACGCCACGCACCGACTCCAGCCTCTCCTTATGTGCATTTAATTAAAGAATTGTGGAGTTTTATGCGCCAAAACTGCGATGTTATTGGGAGACAACAATAAGGTTGACAGCATGCAGTTGTTTATAGCGCGCCATCGCGTAGGTTCGCAGTTGAAGTCGACTCCACTTCCGTTCCCGCTCCTGGTGGGATCAAACTACCGAATTTGTGGCACACCAGCGCAACTGAATAGCAGCGCTCAACTGCGCCACCTATTCGCAACTCCAGAACGCTCCGCGTGCTATCAACACTGGTCGAAAAAAACAAAGATAGCAGCGTCTAACAGGGTGGAGCCCTTTTGGCAAACTGCATCAGACTTACTCCAAGTTGAAGAACCTGTACAGCGAGCCCGAGATTTTGGAATGCAGCGGCTAATGTGTAGCGGGACTCTCGGAAAGGTGCTAGCACATTTGCGTTGCTACAGTGCTACATGCAAGAACTTAACAGTTTTCAAGGTAACTACGCTGCGAGTCGTGCTGCCGATTGCATGTATCCCATTGAGTTCCGTTGTCCCGTTAAAATCTGAATACGCATGCCGTTCATATGATTACAGAACGGTGCTATGCTTGGGCTGGTGTATCTTGAGATAAGGTAAACCGTAGTTACGGTTGTAATAAGAGTGCTCCTTTCTTTTTCGTTCGGCGATCCATATCATTAGGTTTCTAATAAAGTCGTGTGCTTCCC